TCTCTTCATTAACTAGAAGGCCAGAGTTTGTTTCAAAAGTCCCTTTCTTTCCTACAGTATTTTAAATGGATTTTGAAAGCATTGAATGAACAGGTCAGTGACTGTGCAAGCAAAAGGCACATTCTTTCTGTGCTCATGGCTGGCTTGCCTACCATTCAGGACACAAAAGACTCTTATTTAGAAAAGGAGGTCTACCAGGGCACTGGAGTACTTGACAGTCTTCCAAAAGCCTCTTGAGATTCTTTAACGTCCATATGGACGGGCAATTAGGATCTTGGTTTAATACCTCATCTGAAGGATGATACAAATAACTCTCCTAAGCAAAATGAGTTTTAATCCTGTCCAAATAAACACAGACATTTCATAGTGCCCTGTAGATAAAAAGTCCATTTCGAAGTGGTGGTGTGGCCTTAGCATATTATGTGGCTTGACAAATTCATGCCCTTGGTTTGAATGCTGAGTTTAAAGGTTTGATACTGTGCCTTTATCCGCTTTCTTTTTTGTCACAGTCTGTCCAGCAGAAAGCAACATTCCCCTCGCCCTCTGAGCATCGCTCAGATATGAAAGCCAACTTAATTTTTAGAAACGAGATCTCCTGCTGATAATTTCCTGGGCTAATGTCATACCTGGCATCAATTAATAGCGTTAGTAACCAGTGAGAACATGCACAGTTGTAGTGTGTGTAATGGGCTATTTTGGAAGGCGCTGACCTCATGCCGGTATAGGAACAAGGCAAGTGAAATGGTGCCTACATGGTGGGGACTAACCTGTTTAGAAAATACCCTGCGTGTGACATTTCCTTTTGCCCTAATCCCTCCATGAGATTTCTTCGGAGAGTGAAGCATTCAGCAATAACTCTTAATTATCTGACTAACTCGCTTTGATGGGTTCTGTGAGTGCATGTAAGCATACCTTAATTCTGGAGAACTAAGCAAGGTTCTTAAGGGTATGGTAAACAATACACTGTGGTAAACAATACACTGGTGAATTTTGATGAGTTTTTCTTAAAATTGTGACAGTTGCAAAACCTAATTATGTGTGAAAGAGAATTAGAAGTGTGTGTGTATGAGAGGGGAGACTATGCCATTATAAGGGCTGTTTTGAGCTATGCTTAAATTGGGGCTGAAACATTTCATGATGTGATTTTCTACAGACTATACTCTCTTTTCTAGTCTCAGCATCTTTTATTGTTTAAATTTCACAGCATTGTACCTTAAAGCATTTTGCCCTGTTTTGTTCTCTACTTGTGTAGGAATTAAATTCTGCTGTGGGTGTGCATGTTCTCTGTGCCTGAAGTAGAGTACATGACTAAGTATATCTAATTAGTGCTGAGAAACTTCTGTTTTGTTTTGTTTTTGTTTTTTTTAATTTCTCCATCTTTAACTTAAATCTCCAAAAATTAGCTTAATGCCAGAGCAGCAAGATGATTGCTGGCAATGGCATGAAGTATCATAGGGAATTCTTCTAATCCACCATCTGCTGGAAGCAATTACCCCTTTTTTGTAGCTGCATTACTGTCTTCTATGGGGATGAGGATTCTGACAACTGTACAAATTCTGTGAAGCCCAAAGGTCTGGCTAACACTTGAAATAACTAAAAACTGCAATCTCCAGCTTCTATGTTAAGGCAAAGGCCTTCATTTTAACTTAAGCGTGCCTGTTAATTCAGAAGGACCTGTTTTCCTTGCATTTGCCTTGCCTGCCTCTGATTTATGTGCATAAAAGTTTTGAATAACGGGTTTAAAATAGATATATTGTCATCCTTTGTGCTAATTACAAGTGATGAGACTTAAAAATCTGTTCCTTTTTCCTTTGGTAAGTGCACCATTCATAGGTGGCAAAACTGAATATAGGTTAACCTGAGCTGCTGTAATTTGTATGTAGGGGTTTCAGTTTAGCTGACATCTGACATCTCTATAAGGTAGCAATATTATTGATTTGATATACCTTGGATTTTCCATTGTTCGTTGTATCCATTATGTCACCTCCATTCTCAGGAAGGACAGTTGTTTTTGTTGAATGAAGCTTGTGATGGGAACATGCACAATTTTGCCGTGAGATGGTCTGTTCTCACCACTTTCGTATGTGTGCTGACGAGGTGGCACATGAGTGAAGATGATGACAGCTCAGAAATTAAGGAAATGTGAGCCAATATCAACAGGGTGCTAGTGGTAAATTCCTTGTGCCACAACAAAGCGTCGTTGTCTTTGTAAGCAAGTCTAGGATCAGTTATTTGCATGCCATAAGGAAGGTTAAGGTTTTTGTCATGGTGATTTTTGGTAAAAGTCACAGCTGGGTTGAGGGCAATAAACAAAAATTCATGGGACCCTTGGCCTGCCCGTGACTTTTACTGAAAAACGGGTAGTGCTTAGCTCAAATTAAGGTACACAAATTGAGCGATGTCAATTACATAATAATTACAAAATACATAATAATTTTGAAATTGGGAGTGTCTACACAGCACTTATTTCGAAATAGAGCACTCTTCCTCCAACTTCCCTTACTCCTCGCACAATGAGGGTTACTGGAGTCAGAGTAAGAAATTCTCCAGCTTGACAGTATTTCGACATTATTTCAAAATAATGGCCGGCTGAGTAGATGTGTACTAAGTTATTTTGAAATCATGTTGCTGTGTAGATGTATCCTAACTGAGGGAGAGAGGGGAAGTGGCGGGGTGGAGGGAGCAGGA